ATCGACGTCTGTTTAAAATATATTAACAATATAAATACATTATATTTATATATGCCTACCTGTACAATTCGGACAATAAAATTTGTCCACCATTAATGATTCTTCGGCTGATATTTTTACACAAGCACCATGGAACCATTCATCACATTTATCACATTCAATCATAAATGATTGGCCGTCAGATGACCTACAGACACAATAAAGCTGCTCCCCTACCCGTTCTGATTCATCAATGATCATCTCTTCAGCATTTGTATTTCTTGTAGATTCCAAACCTGGTGAAGCATTACGACTGCTGTTATTGGACGTAGTTCTTGATCGAAATTGTCTCTTGTTGTTGTCTTTGTAAGAACGATCGGACGTTAACGATAGTTTTCTTTTTGTCGATGTAGTTTTAGACCGCCTTGTTCCGGATTTACGTTGACGTGAACTTGTATCATCAGAAGAGACCTCTTCATGATTCTTCTGACTGATTTTATATCTACGTTTATTTTGTAAATCTTTACCCTTAACATGTGATGTCTTATTAATTCGTGTAAATTCAGATTTAGATTGTTCTTCGGCTGCACTGTCCGAATCGGTAGTTTCAATAAATCCTTTCATGGATTCATCGTAATCATATTGTGGGAATTCTGAATCAGTTTGTGGTGGTGCTGGTGTACTTCCTGTCGTACTCTCATATGAAATAGGTGACACCATATTTTTAATAGGCGTACGCTCTTCAAATGGAGATGTAGGATGCGAAACGTGACCTTCATCAGAGAACACATCTGATTCTCTACCAGTTCTGGCTTCTTCGTTATGTATGATCTCTCTTCTTTGTGAATTTTGGAGTTCGCAAAGTGCCGTACTAGCCAATTGTTCTAATTCAGAAGAATTTTCAGTCATCACTGCGTTAAGGGGTGGATTAAGATTTTGATGCAGATATCCTGATTTCTGTACAGGCTGGCCAATAAACTCCACAGGAGTAAGAATAGGAGTAGGAGGTTGGTCTTTCGTCAAGTGTCCACAAGAATCGCTCAATACAGGAGTGGGGGTGGCAACAGTGACTTGATTAACCTCGGGACTATTTCTATTGTGATGGTTACTTTTATTTATTGATGCGGTAACATCTTGTTCCTGAATGGTTGGACTTAAAGAGGGACTTCTATTATTATAAGCAGTGATCGGGGTAGCTGGTATTGATATTTCATTGGGCGTTAATACATGAGACGACTGTAATACAGTTGGCGCATTAGTCAGTGGAGTTGAAGGACTAGTTTTAACTGGTGACAAAGGAGTACCATTGCTAGAGGTGTTGAAGCCAACTGGTGAGAAAGTTGATTTTTGAGGTGTATAGCTATAAATATTTACTGGTGAATTTGAAGAACTTGGAAATGACGGAAAAGTTGGAGATGTGCACGGTGGTGGAAGCCGAAGATTGTTATTATAGGGTAATTGAAAAGTTGGAGTCTGAGGTTGTGAGTGAGGATTTGACTGGTAATATGTTTGTTGAGTCATTGACGAAGCTGGTGGTAAGACCGGGTGCGCATTTAAATCTTGTTGCAGTGATCCTGATACAGTTTGGGACCTATTAGACGGCGGTGATGGAGCCGGATTTAATATCGACATGATGTTAAACGACGAAGTTGACTGTTGCTGTGGTGGTTGCATTTCTTGTCGCTGATGAGTACTGTCACTTGCAGAATATGTTTTTGCTTGGCTAATGGAAGGTTCTATCAAAGGTTTAGCTAAGAGTGGCTTTTAACTAACTTTTGGCCTTTATATCAATGGTTCAAGGGGTAAGGTATCCACGAAGAAGACCAGAACATATATGAATACTCTGAAAAAAAAAAAAACAAAAAAAAAAAACGTGAGTTATTATAGCTTCTACATGACTGATTCTTTGTGACACCATAATTATTATCGTTATTGTTATTGTCTAAAAGTCACGTGTAGCCAGTCAAATATCAG